CTCACACATCACAGAGTTCTGAAACTCATCCTAGAGTTTCAGCAGAATGGGACAGGCACTGGCCTCGTCATGACCCCTGACCCTAAAGCTGCACCAGAACCTGGCCAGACTCAGAGGCCCTTTAGTTGCCAGGGAGCTCAGAGACCATTGTCCAATCCTCTTGTTTTATGGGGGACAAAACCAGGGCATGAAAAAGGATGTGACCTGCCTGGAGTTAGGGTCAGGTTAGCCTAGAACCTGTGCCCATGACTTCCGAGGCCAGTGCTGTTGGCTTGGGGCACACTGTCTCATCATGTCCCTGTATACTGCACCCACGCACAAGCAAGCCAGTTAGCTTCAGGTGGTGCTAGACAAACAGCAGCGCCTGGACTCTAGGCCATGTTCCTGCCTGTCTTTGGAGGTTCTGTCTCCCACCCCTTCTCTCTATTCTATCCCTCTTTCCCTTTGGGGAGCTCTTTATCTCTCTTCCCCGCTCCTCTTTGCATTGCTGGCTCTGCCTCTGTCTTTGTCCCATCCTTCCTTCCACGGTCTCTGTCCTCTCCGAACACCCGCCAGCTTTCTTTAGAAGAACAGCTTCTATTTCTCTCTAGATAACTGCCACACATCCTCAGAGAGCTCCGACACCTCGGACAGCGCCGGCCACTCGCCTCCCACCGGCCAGGTAAGGGACACTCCTAGTGATCCCAGCCCTCCATGTGCATTCTGGGGTCCGAGAACTCAGGCCGCCCGGCTCCAGAGATGGGAGCAAGAAGGGAGGGGCTTTGGGAGTCATCACAGCGTCCTCAGGAGAGGGTGGTTAGGCGTTCACTCACAGCCCTGTGTCCACACGGATCATCCAAGCGAAGTGGGTCCGAGTGGGCTGTAAAAATGGAAGTGCTGCCCAGCCAGTGTGGCTCAGTAGTTGAGCATTGACCCGTGTACCAGGAGGTCGAGGTTAGATGCCTGGTCCGGGCACATGCCTGGGTTACAGGCTCGATGCCTAGTAGAAGGCATGCAGGAGGCAGCCAATGAACAATTCTCTCTCATCATTGATGTTTCTATCTCTTTCTCCCTCTCCCTTCCTCTGAAATCAGGCTCACTTCCCTTTTTTTTTTTAAAAAAAATGAGAGTGCTAATGGGAAGCCTCCTTCTCCCCGTATCCCAGTCACTGGGCCACTGCTCTGAGTCCTGACCTCATTTGAATTGATTGTCTATATCTCTCTCCCTTACACCCATTCATCCCCTGCAGACAGGAGGAACAAAGGCATTGGCAATCTTCCTCACTGCCCTGACCCTGCTCTGGCCGTGACTGCCTGGGATCCAGGCTCCTTCTCATCCAGCCCAGGGCAAGCCTCTCTGCGTGAGAGTTTAGTCCTGGGGTCCTGCCTCCTCCAGACACGGTAGGAATCTGGACCTACACTTGTCTGCTCTTTTCCCCCAAGGCCACCAGGAATGTGAATTACACCCAAGTGGTCTTTCCAGCCACAGGAAGACTAGAGAACACATCCGCCCTGGACTATGAGGACATCGAGGACATGACAGATTATGTCAATGTCGACCCAAAAAGCCACAAGCACAATTTCTGGACTTTTGTGAACCCTGCTGCCTCCGAGCCTGTGGAATACTCTCAAGTGGCCATGTGAATTCCAGGGTCTGCTTTTTTAAATGGGGTCAAGTTCTCTACAAATTCTCGTACTTATTTTGTAGGGAATGACTTTCTGTTTTTTTTTTGTGTGTGTGCGTTTTAACAAGGCTTGGGAGGAAAAAATAGGCTGTATCTCAGCAAGAAAGGCTCATATGGGAAGTTAGGATGAGCTTCCAGGTTGAGTCTGAGCTCACTGAAGCAGATCAGTAGGGAAAGTGGGGAAGTCTCAATCAGAAAATTGTTTTAAAAGATTTTAATCAGCTATAGTAGAGTCCCGTTTGGCAGTCTTACGATTGAATTAACCTCTGAGCTATTTAATTATTGGCAGTGAACAACTTCTTTAAAAGTTTTAAATAAAACGGCAACCGCCAGTTCCTCTTTTCCTCTTGCCCAGCCCAGCGTGTGTCCCTTTCTCAGAGCTGTGCCTGCTGAGTGATCCTGCTTTGCCCTCGGAACTTTAGATAGTCCACTTAGAAGGCCCACTATCGCTCAACCTTTGAACTCACTGTTTCTTATGAATGAGAGATGAGAAATACCACCTGATAAACGCCAACCAGTATCACAATCTGTAACTACAAGAACAACTTCCCAAATTTAATCTAATAAAATCTAATATCCATTCCTGGTTTGTTGTTTCCTTTTTAACCAATCCTATATAATAAAAGGGTAATGTGTAGACGGCAGAATGACTGGTCGCTATAACACGCACTGACCAGCAGGGGGCAGATGCTCAACGCAGGAGCTTCCCCCAGCCCACAGGGCCTGATCGCTGGATTGGGGCCTGCAGGCCAACCTCTTGGTCCCTTCCCCCGGCCAGCAGGCTCTGATTGCCTGATAGGGAACAGGGAACCGGAGGTGGGTGGTGGCAGACATGACCAGCGCCAGGCCAAGGCCCCCGCCCCGCCGGCCACCCCACACACAGAGGGCCACTGGCGGTGGAGGGCGGGGCCGGAGAGCTGGTGGGAATGGCCAACCTCTGGGTCCCTCCCCTGGTCAGCAGGCTCCAGTTGCCTGATGGCAAACAGGGACCTGGGGGTGGGTGGCGGTGGGGGGCATGGCTGGCTGCGGGCAGCTGGGGAAGATGGCCCTGATTACAGGCCAGGCCTAGGGACCAGACCTGAGCAGAATTTCGTGCGCCAGGCCTCTAGTTATGAATAAAAGGACACTTCCTTAACTTGATTAAGAATAGCTTATCTGAAATCAGTAGATGCATGATATTTAACTGTAAGGTCCTAGGCATAGTCCTATTAGATCATGAACAAAGTAAGAATCCCCACAAACCTGCTATTTCCTTCGTTATCTAAAATCATTCTAGAAGTTCTAAGCAGTTCGATTAAACACCTGACAAAAATAAGGGCTATAAATTTTGGAAAGGAGGATGAAATTTGTCATTGTTTGCAGATACCCTAGTCCTAGAAAACCTCAGAGAATTAACTTAAAATGATTTAAAATTGATTGCATGCAGTAAGCAGTGACTAGAGAAATATGCAACAAACTTTCCTCAACAGTTAATTAAGACAGGAATTTTTAAAAAAAACGTTCACCATAGCTAAACATCTCCCAAAGGGGAAACCCTAGGAATACTCTTAGCCAAATTCAAACTCCAGATGAGTGGTGTTCAGATCTTAGAGATGATTTATGAACTTGCTCCCTCTGCTGGCTGAAAATGACTTTCTAGCCCTGGTACTGGGAGCAGTGGGTGGCTTTCCTAGTCCCAGGTTCCTCTTTTCCCCAAGAAACCGAAGAAATGGTTCTGGCTTGGCTTCTATGGCTTGAAATATTTGCTAATCTATATGTCCCTTCACCTTAGCCTGCCATTGTTGCTCTTTCCTGCTGGATTTGAATGTTTGTGCCCCCCCCCCCAGCTTCATATGTAGAAATCCTAACCTCCAAGGTGATGGCATTAGGAGATGGGGCCTTTGGGAGGTAATTAGGTGATGAGGGTGATTCCCTTGTGAATGAAATTAGTGCTCTTATAAAAGAGATCCCACAGAGCAGTTCAATCCCACAGAGCTCCCTAACCATATATATAATTGTTTTCAGAGAGGAAGGGAGAGGGAGAGAGAAATAGAAACATCAATGATGGGAGAGAATCACTGATTGGCTGCCTCCTACATGCCCCCTACTGGGGATCGAGCCCACAACCTGAGCATGTGCCCTTGACTGGAATCAAACCCCGGGACCCTTTAGTCCACAGGCCGACTCTATCCACTGAGCCAACCTGCCTAGGGCAGCCCTTCTGTCTTGTAAGGATACCATGAGCAGTCCACAGCCTGGAGAGGGCCCTCACTAACCATGCTGACACCTTAATTTTGGATTTCCAGCCTCCAAAACTGTGAGAAACAAACTTCTGTTGTTTATAAGCCACCCGGTCTGTGGCATTTGTTACGGCAGCCAGGATGGACGAAGATATCTCCCTAGAAAGCTTTTCTTAATGGAGAAATGGAGATTCTATTGATTAGAGGGTCAGAATGAGGAATAAACACTGACAACAACACTGTCTTTGCATCCAGAAGCAAAACTGTACTTCTTATTGATCTCTTTTGAAAAGAAAAAATACACACACACAACAAACAAACAGAACGACAGAAAACTGAAGAGGTTCAGACATGTACCATGCAGCCAAAAGAGACTGCCTAGGGACACTGTGAGACAGTTCCCACGCCAGGAGAGGGGACGGCAGCAGCCGCAGAGTCACGCAGGTAGAGCGCCTGCTTTCTGCAGAATGTGGACAGGCCCTGGGGGTGGGGAGGAGCATACGTAAAACGGAGACTGAGCAGCTGTGCGGGTGGGGTCACAGCGGGCATGACCTAGTTGTGACGACAGGCAGAAACACGTGCAAAGTCACACGTGGCAGAGGGGAATTAACAGAGCAGTGAGACCAGAGCCTATCAGTGTTAGGCAAAGTCGGTGCAAGAGTGTTAGGATTAGGTGGACCTAATCAGAGAAAACAGCCCAGAGAGAGGTGCTTCTGAACTCAGCTCAGAAAGAAGGGTGGGCCCTAACTGGTTTGGCTCCGTGGATAGAGCATCGGCCTGTGGACTGAAGAGTCCCGGGTTTGATTCCGATCGAGGGCACATGCCCAGGTTGCAGGCTCAGTCCCCAGTGGGGGGATGTGCAGGAGGCAGCCGATCAATGATTCTCTCTCATCATTGTTGTTGCTATCTCTCTCTCCCTCTCCTTCCTCTCACATGTATATTGGTTGTGGGTATATCCCCAGCAGAGGGTGTGCAGGAGGTAGCTGATCAATGTTTCTCTCTCATAGATGTTTCTAACTCTCTATCCCTCTCCCTTCCTCTCTGTAAAAAAAAAAAAATTAATAAAATATATTAAATAAAAAAAAAGAAGGGTGGAAATCTATTGATGGGAGAAGACGCAGAAGAAAAGGGGGCAGGCCTGACTGGATGCAGGCTCTCTAAACTGCATGGGGAAATGTCCGTGCCTGGGCTCAGAGACAGTGGGGAGACTTGGATCAGGGAGTTGTTGTCAAAGAGAACAGAGACCTGAACGTCAGCGACCATATGATTACGGTCTCTAATGAACTCCGCTATGATTGGCTTCAAAAGTAGGACATTTTAGAGCCAATAAATATATCGTGGAGTTTAACATTAGCACCCACCCCGATTGCTTATAAAGGGCAGGCATTCTTGGGGAGAGTTGCTCAAGAAGCAAGTTGAAAGTGTGGCTCCAAGTGACTTACAGAGGTTTGATTGACGGTCGATGGTGCAGATGACACCTCAGATGCCCCGGTAAGTAGAGAGAAGGACTCGTTTCATGTCCTGAGGAGTTTGGGCCAAGAAGCTGATGACTGGAGACAGCTAACAATTTGAACTGCTGCTCAAAGTCATTGCTAGCCGGCCATGTGGCCAGAAATAAAACGGCCTTTTGCTTAGGAGACTTCTGAGAGCTTAGAAGGTTAGCTGCCTAAATGTGAACGGTCGCTTGTGTAGTGTCTAGCACAGCGAAGTCACTTTCTCCCGTGTGCTATGTCATCAGGACCTGCAGGGAACAGTCATGCTGCCCCACTCACACTGGGTTCCTCTGTGGGTGAGAACTGGATGGAAACCTCTCCAAAACTATCCTACAACAAGATACAGAGAAGCTGACTTGCTACTGGCAACCAGGTGGTAGTTGATTACATGATAATAATAAACTGGGAATAAACCATATACCAGAATAAACAGTATACCAGAATAAAGTCGACCTGTCTTCAATAAATTCTTTTTTAAAATATATTTTTATTGATTTCAGAGAGGAAAGGAGAGGGGAAAGAGCATACAAACATCAATGATGAGAGAGAATCATTGATCGGCTGCCTCCTGCATGCCCCATACTGGGGATCAAGCCAGCAACCCTGGCATGTGCCCTTGACCATACAGTTCCTCATGTTGTGGTGACCCCCAACCATAAAATTATTTTCGTTGCTACTTCATAACTGTAATTTTGCTACTGTTATGAATCGTAATGTAAATATCTGATATGCAGGATGTATTTTCATTGTTACAAATTGAACATAATTAAAGCATAGTGATTAATCACAAAAACAATATGTAATGATATATGTGTTTTCCGATGGTCTTAGGCGACCCCTGTGAAAGGGCCGTTCGACCCCCAAAGGGGTCGCGACCCACAGGTTGAGAACCGCTGCTCTATCCACTGAGCAAAACCAGCTAGGGCTCTTCAATAAATTCTTTTTTTTTCTTTTTATCCTTTATTTTCTTTCTTTTTTTAAATTAAATCTTTATTGTTCAGTTCAATACATTCTTATTCTAAAGGAGCAACGACCCAAATGCCCACCATAGAACTTCAGCAGAATTCCATGAGGGACACTGGCTTATTGGCCAACAAGATCCAATAGGGTGAGGAGGTATTTTATGCCCAACATCAGTGGGGTTTTTGCTCTTGGGATCAGGACAGGTTTCTGGGTCCAGGGGGGGCTCTCAAGAGGCCTTCCACACCAAGCCCCCAGCCTCGAAACCGAACACATTATAGTAACTCCATCTTATCTGGGTTTATAGTTTTGTTTTTTGTTTTGAGGTCCCACTGGCTCGCTTAAACACTCACTCTTTCAGGCAGGAATTTCTAGACTCAGTCTTTCACCGCTTGCTCTTTGCCCTTCCTTGCCACATACACCCTCCCTGAGCTTTGAGGGAAAGAAGCATGTGTCCAGGTACCTCAGGAGAACTGGGTCAAATGAGAGACCAAGACTCTAGAACTTTAGGGAAAGTCCCTATGGCCTTCGAGCTGGGAGGCTGGTGACTTTCCCAGCCTACCCCAAGGTCATTGCTGTTTCAAACCCACTTTCAGCTCCACACTGCCACCGTGTGGCTCCACGGAAAATTGCACTCTTGTTTCTTTTTTTTTCTTCTTAAACTGGGTGAAGGGGCTCCAGGAAGGTGGCTCCCCACACCTCAACCTTCCCCTTGCCCATGCCCTGCTCAAGGAGATCAAAATTTTAATTTAATTTGCCTATACCATTATCACTGTCACTGGGAAACAAAGATGCCTAGAAATTTCCTGGCTGCTAAGGGATTTTATTGGTGAACTTCAACTACATTTCTGGGTTCCCGACCC